CAGGAACTCCTCCAGACCTTGAAGCTGTTCTTAGCGACCAGGTCCGTTGTGGCCACCGAGGGAGCAGACCTCCTCACGGAGACCCTGGTCCACAATCCAGGCTTGTGCGTACAGGTGGTGGAGTCTCCCTCGGTGCCGGAGGCTGATCCTGGCAGAAACCACCAAGGTTGGAGACCTCCTGGACTATGACGGGGGGACTGGGTGAATCCCTGAGTGCTCGCTTAGCGCATGGGGCTCTCCACCCCCCCGAGCCCTTCTGCGCCTACTCCAAGAGGGGAAGGCGGCTTTGCCGCAGCCCGTTCTCGATTTCCTGCGGTAAGCCCTGCGAGAGGGTATGCCCTACCCCCCATCCCTTATTATCGGGCCCCTTTTCCATGGGCCCTCCTGGCCTCCCCATCCCTGGACCCTGGTCTGCTTTTGAACCACACCTAGGGAATATCTGTACATGCTCATGCTCCATACAATTCACTTCCTCACCCTTGTGTCCTGCCCTGATACCAAGTGGCAGGACTATCTAAGACCTGAGGAGGGTGGGGAACCCCGACAGGCCAGCATATATCACATCCTAATTCCACAGCCCAACGGGGACATTAGTTGGTGTCTCCTTCACAGAGCCGTGAGCATGTGTGTGTACCTGGCGTAGTTCACCCCCATCCTGGATGCCTGCCTTTTGTGGCATGAGGAAAAACCTGGTGCTCGCCTATCTAGAATGTGCCAGGTTGCAGCCCCTATTCCGGCTCCTCCAGAACCTTTTATTGAGGTTCTGGCTGCACTTCTCCCCATACCTCTTTATTTATGCACATCCTATCTGTGGCCCCACAAAGTTGTGAGACTTCCTTGTCAACCTCCTCCTGGCCCAAGCAAAAGCTGCTATATATAACAACAGGAGGAAGATGCTGGACAAGGGAGTTCTCTGCGTCTGTGGGGCCTACTTCCATTCCTGCCTAGCGTCATGTATCCAGGCAGAGTTCCTCTGGGCAGCGTCCACTGGCTCCATCGACAGCTTTGAGGAGCAGTGGGCGCTGTCCGGGGTTCTCTGCTCGGTGTCTCTGTCTGGTTCCCTCGTTTTGAACCTGTGACCCGCACCCCCTGCCCCTTTAGTCATTATTTGTCCCCCGTGACCAGTTGAGCCTGGATCAAGTCATCCCTCTCACGAGGCTGGGGGAGGGCCTTTGAGAAGTGGGAGGGCTGTACCCACCCACCTCTCCTATGGTCTCAAATAGTAACCCACTACAGGCCCATATTAAAGAGATCAAAAACTGGTTAACTGATTGCCATAATTAACTGTAAACAGTGAATTATGGTTCTGTGGGGATGTTTCTAGTGGGATTCATGGGGATCTGTTCTTGGTCCTATATTCAATATTTTTATTGATGAAAACTTAAAGTCATTACAGATAAATTTTACAGATGACATACAAATTAGAAGAGTGGGGAATAAATAAATTATAAAGAGATATCTCTATAAAGTGAGATTCTTGACACCATATCAGCTTTGGAATTACTGCCAGACTGAGAAAGAGCCCAGCAAAAGAACCAAAGCTTAGTCTCATTGAAGTATTGTGTTGGTTCACCAATGTAAATAATTTCTCCATTGAGCTAAGAGCAACAGCAGCCTTAATGAAATGGACAATGAAAAACAATAAGAAGGCTGAGAGAAAAACAAGAGAGGAAAAAGAGTTATCAGAAAGGCAAAAGCGCAATTGGAATTGCAGGTAGCAAGGGATGTGAAAGGTAACAAAAAAGGTTTCTACAGGCATGTTAGCAATAAAAGGGTGATCAGAGAGGGTGTGGGGCCCTTACTGGATGAGGGAGGTAACCTAGTGACAGATGATGTGGGAAAAGCTGAAGTACTCAATGCTTCCTTTGCCTCTGTCTTCACGGACAAGGACAGCTCCCAGAAGAATGCACTAGGCAACGCAGTATGGGAAGGAGTGGACAGCCCTTAGGGGGGAAAGAACTAGTTAGGAACTATTTAGAAAAGCTAAACATATAAAAATCCATGGGCCCTGATTTAATGCATCCGAGGGTACTGAGGGAGTTGGAAAATGTCATTGCGGAGCCTTTGGCCATTGTCTTTGAAAACTCGTGGAGATCAGGAGAGATCCTAGATGATTAGAAAAAGGCAAATGTAGTGCCCATCTTTTAAAAAGAGAAGGACAATCTAGGGAACTACAGACATGTTAGCCTTACCTCAGTCCCCGGAAAAAATCATGGAGGGGATCCTCAAGGAATCCATTTTGTAGCACTTGGGAGAGGGGAAAGTGATCAGAGAACACCATCTACTGGAAGGCATAGGATGCGTAGTCCTAGGGATGGAGGTTCCACAACCACCACCACCAAAATAGGACAACGGGTAGTGGTAGTCGGGGACTCCCTCCTAAAAGGGACTGAGCCATCCATCTGCTGTCCAGACCTGGAATCTCGAGAGGTGTGCTGCTTACTGGGAGCTCGAATTCAGGATGTGACAGAGAGGCTTACCAAACTGATCAAACCTTCGGATCACTACCCCTTCCTGCTTCTCCACGTGGGAACTAACGATACGGCCAAGAATGACCTTGAGCAGGTTACTGCAGATTATGTGGCACTGAGAAGAAGGATCAAAGAATTCGGAGCACAAGTGGTGTTCTCGTCCATCCTCCCTGTTGAAGGGAAAGGACTGAGCAGGGATCGTCGAACTGAGGAAGTAAATGCGTGGTTGTGCAGGTGGTATCGGAAAGAGGGCTTTGGTTTTTTTGACCATGGGACTCTGTCAGGGCACAAGGATTCTTAGGAAGAGATGGGATCCACCTAATGAAGAGAGAAAGGAGCATCTTCAGGGCAGGCTTGCAAACGTAATGAGGAGGGCTTTTAAACTAGGTTTGTTGGGGGACGGTGACCAAAACTCTGAGGGGAGTGGGAAAGTCGGATACCGGGAAGAAGTGCAGAGGAACGAGTAACAAAGGAGGCCCCCTGATTCAAATGGAGAAGGTAGGGCAATCAACTGGTTATCTGAGGTGTTTGTACACTAATGCGAGAAGCCTGGGCAACAAACAGGAAGAATTGGAGGCCCTGGCCCAGTCCAAGAATATGATTTAATTGGGATAACAGAGACTTGGTGGGATGACTCACATGACTGGAGCACTGTCATGGAAGGGTATAAACTGTGCAGGAAGAACAGGCAGGGGAAAAAAGGAGGAGTTGCACTATATGTATGAAAGCACTATGATTGCTCAGAACTCCAGTATATAGAGGGAGACAAGCCTGTTGAGAGTCTAAGGGTTAAGTTTAGAGGTGCAAAAAACAGAAGTGATGTTCTGGGTGATGTCTACTACAGGCCACCGAATCAGGTGGATGAGGTAGATGAGGCTTTCTTCGGACAACTGAGATTTAAATTTAAATGGCTGCCCCACTCTGCCCATCAGCTGTTTGTCAACAGATTGGCGTAGTCTGGACGCTCCCCTGTCGACATGAAAGCCCTTTATCGACCTCCCCAGTAAACCTCATCCTACGAGGCATAACGGGGAGGTCGATAAAGGGCTTTCAGGTCGGCATGGGAGCATCCAGACTAGCACGCTGAGCCAACAAACAGCTGATCAGCTGTTCGTCAGCTCAGAGCGGCAGCCATTTAAATTTAAATGAAGCCGCAATTATTTAAATTGTGGCTTCATTTCTGTCTGCCGATCAGCCTAATCTACATGGATCCATCGATGGAGCCATGTAGTTTAGACACACCCTCAGAGTTATATAATTAGCAATACGCTATGTATAAGCTTTATGGATCTGGAGCTCTCCTGCCTTCACGTGAGCAAATGTGGACATGTATCTGGTACAGTTTGTATTACAGGGAGGGAGCAGTGGCTTTATACATCTGCCTTCAGTTGGAACCTGTGGAATACTCTCAAGCTTGGCTGGGCCTCTAAAGATGGAAGGGCAAAGATCCTGGAGGATTTCTTCTAGGAAATTCCTAAAATGGAGATAATGTGCCTAAAAAGCAGCATTAACTCTCTTAGGTGACATCTCTTACTGCAGAAGAAGTGGTTGGAGTTAAGCAAATGGCAATGGTGTTCCTAACAAGTTCTTGCTGCCATGTGGGAGGGAAGGAAGGAGGAAGGAAGGCCTTGCGGGGGAGGAGCTAGCTGGGATCTATGTACTTACTATTCACCCTATTGCTCCCAAGTTGGGTGGGGTTTATAGCCCACACTTCACCTTACTCTTTATTCCTTATAGGAAGACTTAACACAGATGATGATTTGGGACAATTGCAGGGAGAAAATGGGAAGTGGCAAAGGGAGAATAACCTTTAGCAGCCTCAGTTGTCAAGTAATTGATAGCCCTCAAAGGGGCTTGGGTTGGAGCCTAGTGGAGTGAAAGGACCCAAGTTCTCATATCAACACCCACTAGATGATACTACCTGACCAACCAACCCCTGGTGAAGACTATCATACATACATTTAACTTTAGAATGTGCTTGAACTCTATTGAAGCTCTTACAAAAAAGTTAAGAATATATCTGACAACTGTCCTAAATAGGGTTTTGTTAAGTAAGTGCTTTAAGTGATTTGGCCTAGATCTCACAGAGATTCAGAGATCTTGGACAAGAGTTCAAGTTCCTCACTTCTGTGCTCAAATCACACCTCTATTTTTCACTATGTACAGCAAGATATTTATCATTATACACACTTTGGAGACAATCCTCATCTTATATAAATTAACGTAGCTCTATTGAAGTTGATGGAACTATGCAAGACTGTATTAGCTAAGGATCTGGCTCTGTATTTTTCAGTATATTATAGTTTAGCAATATACAGATTTCCTTTTACTTGAATAAAAGTTATACTTACACATTCTGAATCATGCCTGTTTGACAAATAGATATGTAAGCAGGGCACATGCATATGTTTTATTATGATTGTATAAGCCATGAACTAACAATGCTGTCTATCACCTAACGAGTGCTTTATCTCTTCAAAGTTCTGTACAAATAGTAATGAATGAAAGGCACATCCTATTCAAACTTACCACACTGATCAGCTGTGCCAGGGAAACCTGCAATTCTATAGATACCAACTGTGAGGAGTTGACAGCAGGGCGAATTAACTTATTATATCTGGTAGGACTCAGTAGGTGGTTCATTAGCTTCTCCTCAGCATCTGCTGCATTGCTCCCTGTAAAACAGCGGAAAACAGGGCCCAGTAATGAAGCAGGGAGCAACACAGAAAATGAAATAAGAAAGACCCAAACTTATCATAAAAACCCTTTAGGGCAAATTTTGCTCTACTGAAGTCAGCTTTGTTGGATAAGACATATATCAAGGCAGAATTTACTCCTTTGCTTTTACAGTTCAAACTGGAAACTATTCAGTAGTGCAGCACCATAGTAATAGACACTCAACAGCGTGGAGTGAAATATAAAGTGGAAGCCCCTTTTCGTGTTTTGGAAAAGATTTTTTGAAGCCACAAAAGACAGGTGTTAAAGGGGAGACTTGGAAATCTCCCCTTTAACTGTCATAGCAATGAAGGTGTAATCAGGCAAATTAATGGCAGGAAAAGTGTGATAGTATAGGGAAGAGCCTACACATAAAAGCTACATCTACACTGGCATGAATTTCCGGAAATGCTTAAAACGGAATACTATTCCGTTTTCAGCTTTTCCGGAAAAGGAGCGTCTACATTGGCCGCGGAGTTTCCGTGATAACGATGTGCTTTTCCGGAAAAGCGTGTCTACATTGGCGGCGCGCTTTTCCGGAAAAGCAAAAGCCCGGAACCATTTTGAAAAGGGCAAAGGCCACCAGACCTTTCCGGGGGCGGGGCCGGAGCTCCGTCCAGACTCGTGGTTAAAGGGTTCTCGCCGGGCAGCCGTTGGTCTCGTGCCTTGTGACCTCTACCAGGGACTGGCACCCTTCACAGGGTCGGTGGTTGCCCTGTGAGTTTTGGGGACACCACCCTTTGGCCCCCAACTGCTTTTCCCAGCGTCTTCTTTTTTCTGCCCTGCTCTGTCTGCCATGGAGCCGTGGGTGGCCATGTACCTCCTCGGGCCCCTGTTGGACCTGTACAGGTGCCTGGAGCTCATGCTGCAGGCTGGTGCCCTGGCGTTCATATACCAGGAGGCAGAGATCGCCTTGGACTCCCTCACCAGGGAGGTCCTGGCAACCGCGTGGCATCAGCACCCTACCATAGACCGGCCCATCTGGACTTTGGAGACGAGCACTGACTGGTGGGACCGTGTGGTCCTCGGACAATGGGACGACCACCAGTGGATCTGGAATTTTCGGATGAGAAAGCGGACCTTCTTGACGCTGTGCACCTGGCTCACCCTCGCGCTGCAGAGAACCGCCACCCGGCTGCGGGCACCCATCCCCGTCAACAAGAGGGTTGCCATCGTGCTGTGGAAGCTGGCCACACCGGACAGCTACCGCTCGGTGGCACACCAGTTAGCGTTGGGAAGATCGACCGCTG